CATTCTGCCTGACATAACAGGCAGGTACATGCCTTTCTCTCCTACAGCTGCTACAGCTGTTGCATAAAAATCACTACAACTGACCCTGAGAAAAGTCATGGGTGAGTTGCTGTTAGCACTGAGGCTACACACAGGCAGAAACAAAAGGCTGAAAGAAAATATTCATTTACAAAGGACAAAAAATGTGTTACAGATGAAAAGACAATAAGGCTCCCAGTGCAGGAAAACGCAAAGGCGACTAACTCAGCCACTTTAATATTCATGGCTGGACTTTCAGGTTTTTTTCATTTGGCTTGTCAGACTGAGAAAAGCGTGTGAAAAGGCAGCTAGAAACACTTCTCTGACAGATGGTGGAATTCCTTTTGTGCTCCTTCAAGCACTTAGAGACATTTCTTCCATAAACATATTCAACCTTGTCCTGATGCAGCAACCTTTGCTTTAACATTGCTAGATTCAGACCACGTGCTGAGGGCACAAAAAAACTGGTACCTCCACTGGCAACTACAGTTATTAAGCACACTGGAGAGCAGCATTAAAACAAAGCCCAAAGTGCTATGTTTGAGCATCGGTGGCAATCAGTGACGCTACAGCTTGCACAGCAATCAGCTTAATCTAGGAACAAAACAGCAAACTGTTTGAGGGTTATATGAAATACAGTGGCTTCTCCAGGCAAAATAGAAATAACAAAAACTCCAAAATACCTATTATAAGTGTGTATGCTGACTTTAGCCTTATTTGACTGCGTGCTTCCGTGTGTATTGTTGTTTCCCTTCCCGTTTTGAAAGATCACACTGTCTAGTTCCAGGGCTGTTTCTGCATTCTTCTGCAGCTGCTCTATCTCTGGGACTCATGTGCCTCTGTCAGATTTTGTCACAATATGCTGGCAGATTGAAAAGGTGGTCATGGAGATACATGGACACACTTGCAACAGAGCGTGACTTCCCATTTTTTGTTTCCTCAGGAAGCTAGGCAAAAAAAAAAAAAAAAAAAGAAAAGAAAAAAAGGAGGCAAACCATTTTAAGATACACATACATTTAACTTACATGAAAACTGAAGAGAAACTACACTCACCCTGGGACTTTCCTGTTCTAGGTGACCATGAGATAAGTAGCATTTACCAGCCTACCAAAAGCTGTCAGAATGGAACTGCTCTTTGCATTTTGTTTATTGTTGTGGTCATTAATGTACTTATTAACAAGATTTATAATGCCTTATAATCCTTGTTGATATCCTTACATATCAAAATACAGCACACGATCATTCTGAAAAAAGGAAACAGTAACTAACATGTTAACTGTTCTGCTACAACAAGAATTTTACTCTAGCTTCTCAAAACTCCTCCAGTAAATAAAATTAGCCCTAGCAACAACCCTCATACAAACATGAACATGTTTCCTGAAAAGCAGGAAGCAGCCTAACAATCATATCATATGACCAGCTAAATACAGAAGAACTTTGCTGTTTTTTTTCTTTTTTTTCTCAGGACATTAAAATGCATTTCCTTGTGACCTGGTAGGAGATGACTACTGCCTGGTTTGCTCTTGCTGGAAAATCCTTCTTCTCTGTAACACAGGTGATTTACATATTTTATCCTTCTTGTGATATTGGGATCATATAATTTATTGACTCGGTTAGGCTCCCTTAAGGTCAGCAAGTCCAGCCATTAACATAACACTATCAAGTCCACCATTAAACCATGCCCCTAGGTGCCACATCCACATTAATTGTCTTGCAGGTCTCCATCTCTATTACAGTGCGTTCCTATGTTCCTCTCTTTATAGAATGAATCCCATTGACTCAGTCAGATGAAGCACATAGAGAGACATCTTTAAAGATGTTTAGGTGCCTTAAACTTCTGAGAAGCGTTTACTCGGATTTTAAAATGCATCTATAAGTACAGCAGTTAAGTTCACAGGTAAGATTTTGAAACACTTAAGTACCTATGGAGATGTCATAGGACAAAGACTATGGAGACTTACAGAGAATGTGTAGGCTTTTGTGGATTCTCATTGCAATGGCACATCCAACTTCTAAGTCAGCTGAACTACTAAGCAAACACAAGCGTGGATGAAAAGGATTCAAAGGCACATTTACATTCAATGACCAACAAACGGGTGTTGCTTCTCAGATTACTAGCAAGAAAACACAGGGTAGCTGCAGGTTGATTCAGGTCTGGCTGTCTATTTAAATAGTTTTAAAATGCGTAAAAGTGAGATGCAAATTCTTTGGGTAAAGTGTTGCTCAACTTCATCACGCAGACAGTTCTGCAGCCTGGCACTTATTTCAGTTGATTGCTTTGTATGTGTGGGAAACTGGCTTAAGTTTCGGCCTCTGAACAATATTTGACCAACTGCTGCTCTCAGACAGCAGAGGAACATTCTGAAAAAGACAGGCACTGGATGGTACTTACAGCTTTTCAGGAGGTACATGGACTGAAGGCTCTACTACAATATTCTCATTTCTTCTTATACCCCTTTACTGGCCTATATATTTTCACTTTCTGCCTACTATTTTTAATTCTAAAAATATCATTTGATTCTAAAGGCTGCACTTGGGTTATGTGATTGAAGACTTATCTCTCTGAACACCGAGGAGAACAGAGCTACAACAGGAAGTGGGGAAACTCCAGTAACGTACCCAGGGAAAAGGAGACTCTGCCCAACGCCTCCCAGAAAGTGACCTGTCCGTGGATGGTGTGACATTCATCATCAGTCAGTGGGAGAGGCTCACTGAACTGTGTGACTTACTGCCTAGAGGGGTATGGGACTCACAGGATGAGAGCACCTTTGGGATTGCACATGACTTACTGGAGTATGTGTGGAGAAGGAAATCAAAGACAGGGAATGAGGGAGATAAAGGTGGTTTTGTGAGTCAGAAGTATGGAAAAATAAAAAGATAAGGGGTTAAAATGGTCTGGCTGGTTGTGAACAGGTTGCTGGTCAGCACTCTTGCCAGGCTTTGCCTTGCGCTTGATTCCTCTCAGTCTTATTAAGTCCTACATTGATTATTTTTTCTGGATAAGGAGACCCTCGATTCTGTGTATGTGTCTGTATGGTGGTCCAAGCAATTAGACATAGGGCCACAAGGCACAGAGACCTTTGTTTCTGTGTGGAAGACACAAGTCTTCCACAGCTGTATTTTCATAACTGATTTCTGGGCCTGATTAACAGAAGTATCACTCTATCCTTGATTGAGATTAGTAACAAGCAAAGCCCAGCTGACAAACTTAGTGGAATAGGTAGAAAGAGAAAATCTAGAGATGGAATTTTTAAAAATGGCATCCCAGAAGAAATAATTCTAACAAAGCACAGTGCTCTGATGGCAAGTGTGAATCACATAATAGTATATGACAACATCTGCAAAGAGTGTGGAAAAACAGACCTCCAAGATACATTCAAGGACATATAGATTCAAGCGAAGCTCGAGATGACCTCAGTAGTCAGGCTGCTGAGCAAATGACTTGCTTGTGGATGTCTTCCAAAATTGCAGATCACAGACAGAAGGACATTTATTTGAGTCCTTCTGCAGAGAAAAAGGCACATAGTATCCAGTCCTGTGGTGCTGACTGCTTGCAAAGCAAATGCACTGATCCTCCATCTGCTTCACTGATGGCAGAAAGCATGGTGTGCAGGAGCTGCTCAGAGGTCATTTGCAAAAAGCTTCTGAAAAAAAGTTACAAAAAGGCAAGGTTACTTCCCAGAGTCCTTGGTCTAGCTATCAACCATATCACAGCACTGTACAGGCAGGTAGGAAGGAAGAGACCTCCCATCTTTGGTACAGATTTTGGGCTATTTGGGGGTCGCATATTGATTTGTAGGGTTCATCTTAACTGTGTTCAGACTGGAAAGATCATCCAAGTTCCACGTGGGCTACCTTTAATCTCACATCTTTCTATAATCTAAGAAACTCAGCTGGACAGTGAAGTTCTGCAGCTCTGCCCTCAAGGGTTGTACACCCAAGGCTTTCACAGCAGAAGGGGTGCATTCAGACTGTAAAGATGTGCTCAGACAGATGAATGCCTTCTACAAGGGCTATGCAGGGAGCTGCACTGCACTGAGGAGTCGCAGTGGCATTGAAGTAAGGAGTAAAGCTGGACAGCTTTTCTCTACTCAGGAAACTATCAGGAAGCAGCTATCTAAGGGGCTGTTAAAGGAGATACTGCAGCTCTGGGGACTTGTTTGCTGTCTGGAGGGGACTGAAAGTCTTCCTTTTCATTAGAAATCAAGCTATTCAAACTATGCATATTCCAGGGCATGGTCTGTAATGTGACAACACAAACTTTCTGGACTGTTGTTCCATAATGATCCTTTGTCTTCCAAGTGACAAACTTTCAGGCAGCAGCTTGCTAGCAAACCCACCTTGGAGAACAGAGGTGCAAAGATGGCTGTTGGCATGGTGAGAAGGCCCACACATTGCTTGGCATGCCCTCGCTGCAGTGAAGGCTGCAGCCACCTGGGATTGGACAGCAGACCAAAGTGACTGAAGAACATCAGAAGACTGATTGCCACCCGTGTACAGAAAGAGCAGGAGTTGCACGATAGGCAAAGATGTCATGCCTGCTTTCAGGAAACGCGCTGTAAGAAGCAAAGTGTGGATCAGAGCCACCTCGGGGGCAGCAGAACCAGCGGTCAGTCAGATGCTCAGGCTCTGAGCAACATGGTGCAGCTGTAGGTGTCCCTGTTCATCGCAGAGCAGTTGGACTAGGTGAAATATAGGGGTCCCCTCCGATCCAAGCAGTTCTATGACTCCGTGCGGTGTGAATGAAGCAAGCAGGGTGAGGACGCACAACCCAACTCCGGCTCCCACAACGGGGCTGCCGCTCGTGTCGGCCGGGAGCACCGCTCAGCCACCCACCCCCGCTCCCCGGAGGCAACGGAACGCGCCCCCATCGCTCGAGGGCCGGGTGGGGCGGTCCCGGGAGGGGGCGGCCGTTGGCGCTGGCGGCGGGGAAAGGGGAGGGAGGGGGTTGGGGGGGGTGCGCCGCCTCAGAGCCCATAAAGCGCCGCCCGCGCGGGGCAGAGCCGGGTTGCGCGGAGGGACAGCGGGCGGGACGGGGCGTGCGGTGCGGGACAGCGCCATGAGGGAGATCGTGCACATCCAGGCGGGCCAGTGCGGCAACCAGATCGGGACCAAGGTGAGCCGAGGGGAGCCCTCCCGCCGCTCCGGGCGGCTGCGGGCGGACAGGGAAGTTCAGCAGCCGTCCGAAAAAGGCGTCGGGGAGCGTTGAAACCGACGGGATTTCTCACGGCTATTCGCAAAGCGGGCGGGCCAGGGCTGGGCGGCGGGCGTGGGGCGACTGGGAGCCGAGCGGCCCCTCGCAGCTGTGCCGCCCCGGGCGCTGTCGGGCAGCGCCGCAGGGAGGGGCCGGGAGCGACTGGAATCTGGCAGCTGCCCCGGGCCGGGCCGCGCTGCGTGGCCGTTGGGGAGCTGGGCAGGGACACGGATCTCGGCGGGGGAGTTCCCAACACTCTTCTTCTTTTTTTTCTTTCCCTGCCCTAGTTTTGGGAAGTGATAAGTGATGAGCATGGCATTGACCCAGCCGGAGGCTATGTCGGTGACTCAGCGCTGCAGCTGGAAAGGATCAATGTCTACTATAACGAATCATCTTGTAAGTGTGGGGCGGGGAGGGTGCTGGGCGACGGGCTCCGTGAGGACGGAGCCAGGAATGTGGGAGAGAGCGGTTCTGTAAGCTGCAAGCGCTTCTGGCCGCCCTCCTCCCGCCATCAGCTGGCGTTCCGCTCTCCAGGCGGAGAGGAGGGAGTGTCTCACGGGGCACAGCCTGCGTGGAAGTTTGTTAATCGCTGTTCGCTCTTGTAACGCGTGATTAATGCATCAGCTGTCTCTTGTCCGTCGCCTCGCGTTGAACTGCTGATTTTGTGAGCCCGTATCTGTAGTATGCAGGTTTTGTTCTGTGGGTTGAAAGAGTCGGGGTGTGGGTAATGGTGATTCATTAATAAGGTGCTAAAGGCACCGAAGTCCTTTGAGTCAGACTGGTGTTGGAAGGTATTGCTATGTAAAATAGGGTCAGTGAGTTCTTTGGTCGTTGAGAAGAACTTGTTTTGTCTTCTGTCCAGCTTAGCTTAATGTATTTGTGTTCAAGAAGCATTTAAATGTTGTATTGAGGGATATGGTTTAGTGGGAAATACTGGTTATAGGTGGATGGTTGGACTGGATGATCCTAGCAGTCGTTTCCAACCTTGGTGATTCTAGGATTCTATGGTATTATTTACCTTAGTTTCCTTGAGCAGTTTCAACCACATACAGATTCTCGTGCTTTGTGGTAGATGTGCTTATCAGTTGTTTGCCACCTGCACCAAATAGCTCTCTCATTAATGGTGAGTCCTTCAAGTGTGAAAAGTTATGTGTTTTAGCATCCTTATGGTCTGAGTTTTTTGTGAAGCTAGGAGTTGGACCCGCAATCCTTATGGGTCCAATGTAACTTATATGGTATTATATGATTTGGGCATTAACCCTCCACTCACCCCTTACACACAGTGAAAATTGTTTACTTTATTATTCAACTTTTTTTTTTGTAGTCAAACTTCCCTTCTTTATGTCTAATCCTCAAAATGCTTACAAAATTGTAATGTTCCACTGACATCCAGTTATCAAGTCCGTTGTTCGATGGGAATTGTTTTGTGCATATCATGCTTGGATTCATCTTCTGCTATGATTTCCTCTATAGGAAATATTTATCTATGTACAATCTGCATTAGACTGATAGTAAGCAATGTAACTGTGTGTTAAACACTGTAACTCTTTCACTATTTTCCAGAACATTAAGGACATGCTTATTTTTCATTGTAGCCCAGAAGTTCGTGCCAAGAGCAGTCTTGGTGGACTTGGAGCCGGGCACCATGGATAGTGTGCGATCTGGTCCTTTCGGTCAGCTCTTTCGGCCTGATAATTTCATCTTTGGTATGTGGATGCTTCTTACAAAGGAAGAAAAAAGAAGTGAATGGTTAAAAAACATTTAAACTATATTGCCTCCTCCTTGTTTCAAAATATTATTAATACTCAAAACCTTTATTAGCTTAACAATCAATTTTCGGTTATCTGTAAGTCAGCCAAAAGATACCATTAACTGAACAAATCATTCTTCTGTTAATTGTTTCTTCAATTAGCAAACTACTGAAAGCTTCCTATGATAATCATCAGATAGTGTACGTCTACTTTCAATATATTTGAATGCTAATGAAATCCTGAGACCAATTATTTACAACAAAATGCATGGAAATTCTGCAGGAAATGGAAAGCAGAGGGGGAAAAAGCTCAACCACAAACCAACCAAACTATTTTTTATTCGAAATCGCATTAAATGCATGAGTATGAAGTTGTTTAACGGCTATGTAATTTAACTCTTTCAATGGAGCCTTACAGTATAGCATACTTAACACTAAAGGGAGGCCAATAGAAACCACTCATAGAGCCAGTTACTGGGTTATTTTCCAACACAAAGAGGAACAATCTGACAGCATGGAGGAGCTTCAGGTTTTGCAGTGTTCTTGGAAAGGGTTGTTCTGGCTTTTACCATTTACTTTGCACTTCTGTAGTGCTTCCCATGTAAGCTTAAAAGTGACTGTTGCCATGATTGAATTTCATAGTATCCTTAAGAAGTACAGGAGTGCTGTTGGTCCTTTAGTACTAAAGGAGAGGTGGTGTGTGAAAGTCAAGAGAACCACTCAAACAGGAAGCCTGAATGAGAGCTACCACGAGGGCTCCGGTGGCCTTCTGGTTTCCATGTCTGCGCTAGCTGCTCTTCCTCCTGCCAAAGCAAGCTTAGGTTTCAGCTTATTTTGGTATATTGTGTTAATATAATTAAGAAGGAATGGTGCCAGGGAAGGACAGAGAAAAGATAAACATTGTTTGGGTGGTATGAAGTAAACATAGCTCAACCTCCCTCTGGTGAGATAGGGAATAAGAAGCCATAGATTCATATTAAGCCTTTAACTGACTTCTTTAACAGAGTTCAACTGAAGTTTTATTGCTAATTTTCTCCCATATGATCTGTAGCAATGATGTTAAGGATTACATTCAAAAGCATTTTAAGTTACAATATGTACAAGTTAGCCTGGTGTGAAAAGTCATAGGCAGCCTTATGAGGCAAGTTTCTATATTCACGTTTTTACTTTTACTCCCTTTCTCCTGTGTGTACCGCAGCAGCCCCACAGGAGTGAATTCACACAACTTTTGGAAATACCTGTGTTGGAACTTTACAGTTTGGCATATCACCAGTAAAACCAGAGCAAAATCAATTTAGTGTCTTTAACAATAGTTCAGTTCACTGCACTCCCTTTCTGACAAGCTAACAATGAACCATCAGCATGTGATGAACTGGTATCTGATGGAGGGCCCTGCCAGCATCAGGCACCGTCCTCCCAACCTGCTGAATAGTGCAGAATGGCTGCCTGAGTGCTGAAGTAATGATCTTCTGTATTAAAAGCCAACAAAGCACTTTGTTTTCTCTTTTAAAAATCCAGCCTGGACCCACAAAGGACTTTGTGGCAGAGGCTGGCAGTTCCATACTTGCTGTATGCCAGGCTGTTAGGGCTCATTCTGATGGAGATGTTTGCAGTCTCTGCGTGCATATATGTGTATGTGTGCATACCTGTAACAAGTAGATGTGCACCATCAATGAGAATTTCATTCAGCTATATTAAGCAGCTGATCACACACACCAGATATAGGGGTTTTTAGCTCAGGCTAGCGGGAGACTAGCAGACATAATCCTTGTAGTTTAATGCTGCAGGATGCTGATGTGAAGGGTGAAGAAGCACAGATGGAATGAACTTGCTGTAGGAGAGCAGCGGGTCTTTTGGCTCCCTAATGGCGTACAGTTGTCCACCAGTGTCTGTTATGAACTGTCTGATGTAACTGTTTTTATTGACCATTTTTCATTAGTACACTCCTGCATTTCTCATTCCATTTTTGCCTACATCCTTGCTAGCTCTTCTTGGATAGGTATCTCTCCAGTTTGTTGTCTGAACTGATGGTGATAAACACAAATGGCTGTTAGCCAGTCAAAGGAGTGTCTTTCCCTCTCTAAATCACGTTGTATGTTCTGCACCAAGGCCTTCACAATAGTTTTCTCAGCATTAGTATGCAAGCTACCAGTGTCTCTTCCTACGTTTGTCTTTTATTTCAAGCATGAAAGTAAAAGAATAGTAGAGAGAGAAAAGGAGAGGAGTAAGTTTTCAGAAAATAGCTGCTATTTTTTCATCTGTTAGACAAATGGCTTCCGTGCACATGCAGCTCAAGCTTACACATGAGCACTGGAGAAACAAACAGTGGTAGGAAGACCTGGAGGTACCAGCATTAGTTCTGGGATTACTTCTTGTAGACTTCCATTAGATTTCAGTAAGTGAACAGTGAGAAGAGGCGGAAGCTGGAGGCTGGCTGCATGGATAACAGAGCTTGTGGGACAGAGCAAAGATCTGCCAAACCTACAGTTTTTAGTATGGTGTGTGATATTCAAGAGTTTTGGTAGGTACCTGCTAATTGGGGGGCATCCTCTGGGGTTTCACAGAGAACATAGGAGACCCCAGGTGGGTGCTGCCTAGTAGATGAGTGCAGAGTTAACACATGAGCAACTGATAGTCATGGGCAGAAGGGAAACAGTGGTGTTGTAGGCAACCACTGTTGCAGTTAAACTGCAGTTTAGATAGAGACAAAGGCTGTGTGAATGCAATAAATCAAATGTGAACAGTGATAGAATGGGCTTCTGGGAGATCCTGTGGTGTGAATTAGCCCTGAGGGAGGACTGATCCACTTCTGTCTTACATGTTGTATTTCCTAATTTATTTTGCAGACTAAGCCAATGCAAATCTTTTCCCGTGAACACAGAGTTTCCACATTTTTGAGAATAATTGCTTTTTTTTTCTTTCCTAATTCTTTGCTCCTATTTTGTGTTCTCTCCTGTTCTCTCACTGCCCAGTGATGAAGGGCAACACAGGGGATGTTCTGCAGAACATATTCTAAAAACTCAGATTTTGGTTTTCAGATCCTTCTGCATCTGAAGTAGCATTGGCTTGTGCAGATATCTGGTAGGGGATCAGCTCAAGCCCACTGCAGGTGGTTGCAAGCATATTTAATTCTGGAAGGATATTACTTTGTGCTTTGTCCAGCTGGACAGGAAGTGCTGACCTTCCTAGATTCAAAGAGAGAAAAACAAAGCAGCATATAGAACAATTAACCAGATAAATGTTGAGGAAATCAAGCATTTTTTTGCAGTGAAAATAAAGTGTCTCATATTTGAACAATACCCTAGCTAGCAGTTTTCCCAGAACTGTATGTTTGGCACCAGCACAGAACATTGGGAATTGAATTGGGGCATGGTAGTAGGAAGGAAGGGAGGACTTGGAAGAACCATGCAGAAGTGGATATATGTGATTGTGAAATTACTGCTCCTTCCAATGACTACTTCCAAGAGTACTACTGACTGAATTTGGTAGCGTGACATACGTATGTAGTGTAGCCACTGAGGAATATGAGTATTAAAGGCTGGTCCCTTATTTAATCTGTATGTAATAATAAAATAGTGGTGTAGCAGGGAATCCAGATTATCCATCCTGAGTGGTACATAAGAGGCAAATGGAAGCTGGGGGAGAAAATGAGGGCTTGTGAAATGTACATTTTTCGATTTGGCAAGTTGCTTTGCAGATCTCAAAAAGTAGTAAGTTTCTAGGGAAACCAGTAGATGTTAAATAGCACTTGGTAACCCCTGAATTTTTGGAATATCTTTCGTGGAGCTTCTGTTGATCAGTGTTCTCATTCAGGCTAGATAACCATTGATTGAAAAAGTTACAGTTTTTGATATAGTAAGTTAAAAAGGACTTATTTCAGAAGCTTAGCCTCATCCTTGAATGACAACTGTACCTCCTGTCTGAAAGGAGCAAATGTGAGAGCAGTCCAAGAACCCTTCATTTAGAAATGTGCATCTGTGATTTAGCTTTTTATTCATCGTGATCCCTATAAACAGAAAGCATTTAAATATAAACAGTCTCTGTATGTTTATGGAATAAGCAGGGCTGGGAGTGTGAGAGCTTTCAAAACAAGGAACCAGTGCCACCCTTGCATTTATGGAAAGTTAAATTCCAAAAAAGAAAATGTCACCCAAAGGCATAAATGAACACTATAGACGATTTGAGGCAAAAGGAGTCTGTATAAAAAGCTTAGGTTGATAGTAGTAGAGAGATTTGTAGGCAAAACTGAAGAGCAGTGTTATCTACCTGACAAATGATTAGCAGCTCATTTTTACAGGTGTGATGTACTCCATGAGGTGCCCAAATGCTACTGGTAACTTTGTATATTTTCTTCTCCAATTGTGTATTTTTTTTTTAGGACAAACTGGTGCAGGAAACAACTGGGCCAAAGGACACTATACTGAAGGGGCAGAGCTGGTTGATTCTGTACTTGACGTAGTGAGAAAAGAGTGCGAACACTGCGACTGCTTGCAAGGATTTCAGCTCACTCATTCCCTGGGAGGAGGGACAGGGTCTGGCATGGGAACCCTGCTCATCAGCAAAATACGAGAGGAATATCCTGACAGGATAATGAATACCTTTAGTGTCATGCCCTCTCCAAAGGTTTCTGATACAGTGGTGGAGCCTTACAATGCCACGCTCTCGGTCCACCAGCTGGTTGAAAATACAGATGAAACCTACTGCATTGACAATGAAGCTTTGTATGACATTTGCTTCCGCACCCTGAAGCTCACCACTCCAACATACGGTGATTTAAACCACTTGGTTTCTGCTACCATGAGTGGGGTAACTACATCCCTGCGTTTTCCTGGCCAACTCAATGCTGATCTCCGGAAGCTGGCAGTGAATATGGTCCCATTCCCACGCCTTCACTTTTTCATGCCAGGCTTTGCTCCTTTGACAGCCCGAGGCAGCCAGCAGTACCGAGCACTCACTGTTCCAGAGCTCACCCAGCAGATGTTCGATGCCAAAAACATGATGGCAGCCTGTGACCCGAGGCATGGGAGATATCTGACAGTGGCTACTGTCTTCCGTGGCCCCATGTCAATGAAGGAGGTTGACGAGCAGATGTTGGCCATCCAGAACAAGAACAGCAGTTACTTTGTGGAGTGGATCCCAAACAATGTTAAGGTGGCAGTGTGTGACATACCGCCTCGTGGCCTCAAGATGGCTTCCACATTCATTGGCAACAGTACAGCCATTCAAGAGCTCTTCAAAAGGATATCTGAGCAATTTTCAGCCATGTTCAGGAGAAAGGCCTTCCTCCACTGGTTCACAGGAGAAGGAATGGATGAAATGGAATTTACGGAAGCAGAAAGCAACATGAATGATCTGGTGTCAGAGTATCAGCAATACCAGGAAGCTACAGCAAATGATGGAGAAGAAACATTTGAAGATGAGGAAGAAGAGATCAATGAATAAAGAAATTAGGTATGCTATTTTCCAGGCCAAATTCTCACATCTGGATTTCTAATAATTAGGCTTATAAATCTGTATTTAGGCTTCAAAATGAGTTGGGGAGGAGAGAAAAGGGAGCGCAACTCAGATATTAGAGCTGCTCTTCAGAGTCCATTGAGGTCACTGGGAACTGAGGACGTTCTGCATTTCTGAAAATCAGGCTATTTCTATTCATGAGACAAATGTAAGGCATTCATGTAAGACTTTAGTCTAAGAGTCTGAACACAGAAATTGGTAGGTTGGGATCTTTTATTCCAAACCAACTTCGTCTTCCATATTTTACAAAAAAAAGAAGTAATGCAGGCATGAAAATCTACAAAACAGAACTGCACTATTTTCATCCAATTATGAGTAAGAAAATCTTGTGGGTTTGAAGTATTCATTCTGTACTGAGTATACAATACTGAACTGCCAGGAAAAAAAATTTATTGATTAAAAAAAAAAAAACAAAAAGTTATTAACTGTTCTGTACAGTAACTATTAAAGATGACGTTTGATTCAAATTCTCTGAGAACAAAATAAAAAAGACTAGTATCATCTCAAGTAAAAGTGTTCTGGGCAGTCAATGCTGTATAAATATCCAGTGAGCTGCAGGCCAAGGGCTGAATTTATGCTATGTGACTTTTTCACTTGTTGCTGAGTAATGGTGGGTTATGTGTGTGAAATATGTCCACCTGTGGTATGTTCTTTAAGGACTCTCTGAAAGCACAATATCATGCAGTCAGTCCCCTGGCTTTCTGGCCAGCACCAGGTAATGGTGATTCTGGTTCCTGTCTCCACTCCACCTTGCCTATATACCTGAAATTCATGTTCTCCACAGCATGGTGGGAAAGGAGACTACGTGTTGATGTATCTTTCTACCCCCAGTTTGAAGTTCACACCTATGGGTGCTATGGATGTTTTAAAATCACTGGGCAGACTGAGATTAAAGTAAAGTACAACTATTTATCCATGGTAACCAAAACAGCTGGCAAAATGAAAGATGAACGTCAATTTATCTGCTTACATGACAGCTGGAACAGAAAGGTCTCTGTCTTGCACAACTGACTTGCTGCCTTGACAAAATGACTGTTGGGTGTTCACTCTTTGTGCATACTTTGTGCTCCTGGCCATATCAATTAAACAGCCCTTCTCCATTAGAGAGCCTTCACTGGAGAACATTGCCTACATGGAGTGTCCTATTTAGGTCAGTTTCTAGGCAACAAAACAAGCAAACAAAGGAAAAACCTTCTGGAAATCCAAACTTAATATGTTTCTGTCTCTGCTCTTTTTCGTCTTGCTTTCTGAAGCACTTTCTAAGCAGCAACCTTGCTCAGTACTTAAAAAACAATGCTTCACAAATATATTTTCCAAAGATCCCTTGTTCCTGAAAATATTTATAGTTTGGGATTCAGGGAATGAGATGATTGCATTTTACATATAGCTGCAAACCACGCACACTGAAGCTGTCAATTTTGTTCTACATGGAACTGAAAGTTCAAGTACAAGTAAAAGCACTGGCACAGCTGCTTCTGGAAGGAGGAGCAGCCATCTTTTACCATCTTTTAAATTCAGGGACTTTATTTCACTGTAATACAGAATTAACGAGTAGCTCCCAGCCATGAATTCTGATATTATTAATTAAAATGTTTACAACATAAAATGCCAGGAATCTTAAGTAACTGAGCATTCTCTTGTGAACCAGCTTCTTTGCTTTTCATACATTGACTCAAAATCCAGAATACAGATTCTGAACCCATAAAATCCACAGCTGACAGTGTTCTCTGATTCTATTTTGACTCAATCATTCTTTCACGAGTTTAATTCCAACTGTTGGGTGTGAAGTTAGGAGAGACAACTGAATGTCCCCTTTAGAGCAAAAGGAAACATCTTCCATGTAATTTTAGAAGAAAGCAAACAGCCCAAGGAGCCTACAGTAAGAACATCACCAGCTTGCATGAAAGCAGTAAGAGCCATTGAAGTGGGAATGCTTCTTTTTCATTTAAGTAATTTTCTAATCTTCCTTTTATGACACAAAACCAAAAATCTTTAGCAACAAGTTTGTTGACATTTCTTTCAGTTGCCTTTCTTTTTGAATAATTACTTTCTGCTCCTAAAGACTTCTCTCTTTTTTTTGAAATTTACCTATCAAGTCCTGCCTTTGTCTTTTTCACATTCCTTTTTTAGTTTTTCAGTTTCCCTCCATGTTTTTTAACTCGGTCACCCTTTCCTTTTCTTCCTGCGGCTGGTCTGCTTTCATTTTTTCCTTTTTACTGCTATGCACCTGGTCATAGAAAGATACACAGCTGCTCGATGCCAGATCAAGCCAGACCCGAGTGTTTCTTAGTACCACCCATACACAAATACCTCTGCCAACATTTGAATAAGGGGAGGCACAAATAAAGACGACAACCTACACCATCAATACCACTTATAAACAGAGTGCGCAGGCGTGCTTCCAGGCCAGAAACAAGCACCTAACCTGGAGGGAGCAGGTCCTTTGCAAAGATGCTTTGGTCAAAGCCAGCAAGGCATTCAGGCAGTTTCTACCACTGTCTCTGTATGAACTACTTTGACCTCTTTAGGCTCTCAATTTCACTAGTTTGAAATCACTTCTCTCGCTAGGAAAAGGTGGTCACCTCCTGGGAACAAAGTCAAGGCTGGAAGAGGGCCAGACCTGCTCCTCTTCCCAGCAGTAGGACAAACAGAGAAGGCTCAGCTCCCTTCATGCTGCGCAAGCCTCTACTAGTTGAAGCAGCACTGCTAAACATTTGCATACAAACACCATCGGACCTTACTGGCAGCCACACCACAGACTAAACTTTGAAGTGTCAAATTTGTGAGCAGGCTAACCATCCTCTTTAAAGGAGCAGGTGAGGCAGATGGTTAATTTAGTTTTCATGGCTTTCTTTTGAATCCAAAATGCCGGCACAGCGCATTTCTGCCACTTTTGGCACAAAATACTAAAACTTATCAAGGTAAGACTACACAAAGTAAGTTGATGCTCTAAAATAGAGGCAAAGGAACTTCCCTATCCCTTACAGTCTCACAAGCTTATGAATGACGCTGCAATTAAACGTGAGTGGAATTTAAGTCCTATACAAGTAGACAGAACAAATGGAGTAAGAGAAAACTTCTCAGAGAGATACTTCTTTTGCAGGCAGGTGGTAACACCTCAAAGAGCTCACTTAGGATATTTTGGCTATACGGCCATGGCTTGTGGGTTTGTTTTAGGTTTTTTTTTGTTCATTTGTTTTTTGTTTTGTCTCTTCACTTGCTTGCTTGAGGAAGAATCAAATAGGGAATGAGGAAATTAAGACCTCTACAATGTAACTACATTTAGTCCTCAGCACTGGCTACAAACTGCCTGTGAGAAATAGAAAAAAAATGTGTTCCACTAGATGGGAAATAGGAAGTACAGCTACATGTAAAGTACCACACTACACCATATGCAAATAAACTGGTTGCTACTTTGCCATGTCTGCCTGATGGAAGTTTCACAAACATGAGGGCAGAGTTAACTGCCCCAACAGCTAGGACTTGATGCTCAGTCTCTGCAGAGCTGTAAATGGAGCTCTGAACACAGAGGACTGGAGCCAACCCAAGATCTGCACCTGTTTCTGTGCCAGCAGCTCTGCTTGGAAGTAAGATTTGCAGTCAAAACTGTTGCAGTAGTACATTAGATACATCTGCTAACTTTTTATTGCAAATTGTACAGAAACTGCTGCACATTTTAATGGGGGAAGGGAGGCTTTCTCTCTCTTGTTCTAATGGATCAGCAATCTTGTGATCATGCCTAAACTTCAGTAAAAGCTCTGTAAATCTACCTTTATTAGTCAAATCACATTTCAGACAAAATGAAAGTTTACTGTTGCAGAAATCATTCATTCTAAACTTTTTAACACCAGTAATACAGGAATTGAAGTTTAGTTTTATTCAGGGTGTCTTCTTAAATATTCATTCTACAATAAGGAATTCAATAGGAGCACACAACAGCTGCTTAATGACTAAAAAAGTCCTAAGTTACTGTGCCCTGTGTCCCTTGTTACCTGGCTTGCAATGAAGGAGGACATCATCGACAGCAACACCTTCATCACTGGAAAAAATAAAGAAAAAAGAAAAAAAATCATTTCTATAAACAATTTGCTTCAAGTAACTCAGGCAGACAGTTAGTCTGACCTTTCCTAGACCCTTCTTTCCTTACCATCCTGCTTTCCAACATGTTGCAACATGCAGCTGGAATCTATCACTGATTAGTCCCTTAACATGCCCTCTGTTAAGCCTTAAAGAATGTTATCTAGTAGAGAAGTTCAGTTCCTTCTCCCTCCTCTTGAAAAACAAAACAGAACCCAACCCCTCACCCTCCCCAGATCATGCTCCCTCCCTTTTTCTGGGACAGGGAGACTGTCAGTTATCTTTTCAACAGCTGAATTCTCCAACAAATACACTCTTGGCACACAGCAGGTAAACCAACGCTGATTACTACACTGAGACCAATGTATTAAACTAAGCAGAGAGAATTGCTACCTTTAGATTAATTGAACCAGTATGAAACTCAGACAATCTGGTTTAGTACCTTTGGAATGGCTGCTTTTGCAATGTGAGAGCACGATTTTGCTACCCTAATTTACCAAAGGTTTAAACTCAGGAAGTTTCGTACCAGACTGAATTCGGTTATCAAGAAATTGGCAAAAGAAAAAACAAGCTTTGTTCAGAAAAGTACTGATTTTATTGACTCAAACTGTATTTACACAACACATTCATATGTTCAATATCTTACAGAACTCCGTAAAAAACTCGACCAATAAAACTGCAGGAGCAAGTTCCAGACTGAGCCATGAGTACGTTTTAAGATATCTGACTGGGTGTCCAGTTGTACGGTCAATTTACTTGACTGTTCTTTGTAAACAACTCCTTTTAAAAATCAAAATGAAGGGTGGGGAAAAGGAGGATCAGATCAAAAAGCTGACACTTTTGCAAAGCTAGTTACACTTCGCAAGACCAGACTTTTGGCCAAGCATTCAACAATGCATTTTTCTGTGATTTTTTTGGAAACAAATCACATACAGGTATATTTTAGATGAATAATCAAAAATTATTTATTTCTTTTTAGTAAGCCTACATACATTTCAAAAAAAATAAAATAAAAGAGAGACCAGTGCCATGAAGTTTGTGCATGAATCTCAGTTCTTTCAGTGTTTGGGAGGTTCAGTTCTGGATTCCACCGCAGCTCAAATCCAAGGTACGTTTCTTCAGCTGACAAATGAAGGATGATCTTTTACCGGTGAACTGATGATACCACATACTGGGAGTAGAATATCTTTGTCTCTGCACAAGACACCACTTTTCCATCCATCTCTAATACAGTTTGGTTGAATAAATATTTGTTTGTTTTGGAAGTACAAACTAGGTGAGTTTATTTCTCTTCCAGAGTGCAAGTCAGCATCACCACACACTTGGCAGTTAAAATGGCATCCCTCCTCTGATCTGCCTAACAACCTCTTCATCTGTTGTCTCTTCTTTCTCTTTTTCACGCTTTTTGTTCCAGTCTTTAAGGCCTTCTGGTAGAGAAGTATCCTCATCCAAACTTCCCGTCCCTTCAACAAATTCTTCATAAGTGGACTTCTCTGCAAATGGTCTTGGGCCAAGCAAGTCCACCATATCGCTTTTATCAAGCACTTCCTTCTCCAGTAGTCGAAGGGCAACCTGCAAGAGCAGCAAGTTATGTCACACAGAGTACCATCAGTTGTCTCTCTCCTCACAGGAGTTTAAGGCAGTCTGGGACAACATTAATTCAACACAGATAAATTTGATAAACAAGGTGCTCAGAGTTTACTTAGTACCCAATTTTCCTTTTGTCAGAATTTATGCAGTGTATCTTTTTCTTCAAATCCTACTTAAAAGGCTTGGCAAAACACTCTATGGGCACTGCTACTGTTACTTGTTACTTTAGAACAAGTCTTTCTCTGCTGCCAAAAGGCTCCTGATACAATGCATTAAGCTACAGATTCAAACAAGTATTCTATGCCAAATGTTATGAGCTAAACAGAGCAGTGTAAAATACTAATGTATATAAAGCACATGTGTAGTTCATAACCTTCTTGGGTCAGTGAGCATTCAGTGAAAACAATGATCTACTAAAACACCATTCACCAAATCCATACAAAACTTTCTTGTCAATAAGCATAACAGACAGGTGCCCATCCTGGAAAGTGATCTGTTTGCTGTACTGGGCTTTCTGGTAAGGAGGAAAAGAACACGCACAAGGGTTGCCTCAACTGCAGCAAGGCAGATCTCAAGCAACCCGTGCACATGGAAGGAATTTCAAAAATAATTCAGATAGAGGAAATATTGCATACCTCCTTTCTTAGAGATCTTCTTTCAGCCTAATCATTTAGAACCTTTGTACTGACTGTTAGGTACAGTGTTTTTGTTGTTGTTTTGTGTGTGTGGTAGTGATTTTTTGTTTTTATTCTTTGCTTTGTTATTTCTTTTTTTTTTCCCCCTCTTCATTCTGTTCTAGTACATCTATTGACACCTACTTCAGCAGGCAGACAGTTCTCCCCAACTTCACAAATGAATACTGAACATTTTAGCAACGAGAATTTGGCTTCTAACTTACAAGCTGGTGCCTGAAAACCATCACAATACTCACCTTTTCTACTTCTGCTTTCTTCTCGGTCAGAAGAGATAATGTCCTCTCATAAGCAATGTTAATAAGTGACCGAACTTCTTCATCTATCATTCTGGCAGTTGCCTCACTATAGGGT